CGCCAGAATTTTTTCAGAAGTTGATGGACCATTTTTTAACCGCCTTTATTGAATTGACAGTTAATATAACGGTTTTTTACTGATAAAATGAGCTAAAAATTTCTACTARCATTTGTATKKGAATTGCCAATAACTTGCCAGTACGGGACTTACCATTAATAGCTCTAATTCCCACATCACAGACGACGTACCTTGGCAAAAAAATGCGTGATGCGTCATCGAAAACCTCTCTTCGTGGATTTTCAATGGATGCCATTCTTCACCTGGGAGGTGTGTCTATCGCAGCTTTCAAACCGTTTGTGAAGATTGTAGTTACGACTAAGAACGAAGTTAGTCATCTCTTCAAGTGGTGGTACTATACGACCGACTTCGGTTTGCACAAAGAATAGATTTGTGATAAAATCTGCCATGATCTGGAAAGGCATCAAAACGCCGATATCTATGTTTGTCTATTCCACAGCTCTTCCGATTATCTTCCCTGCTCTGATCTCGGCCTTTGCAACAACGACGACAAATACGAACATGATTCCTAAACTAAGAGGTGTTGTCTTTGACATGGACGATACTCTCGTTCTAGCCAATCTAGATATTCCGGAAATGTACAAAAAAGTATTCGGAAAAGATCCATTAAATAGGGAAGACTTTGACATTTTGAAGGAAATCAAAGCATTAGAGTGCCCGGAAGAACAGGCGAGAGCCCATCGAATCATCGAAGAAATGGAGGAAGAAAGTCGACAACAAATGACACTCATGCCGGGTTGTGTAGAACTGCTAACGTGGCTCTCAGCGCATAATATTCCCACTGCACTCGTAACGCGAAACACCCGAAAAACAACGCATATGTTTTCGGAAAGACTCCAGGCCATCCAACAAGAAAAAGGACGACGGGGACACGGAGACCTTGATTTGTCTTTTCAAAAGATCATTGCGCGGGACGATATGGGCAGCGACAACACTCCTATCCCACCAAAACCAGACCCTGCTGCAATGAAAATCATTGCAAGAGAGTCCTTCGATATCAAAAACGAGAAGGACCTACCTTTTCCCGAGATCCTGATGGTTGGTGACAACGTTGCAAACGATGTCGGCTTTGGAAAGAATGCAGGAGCCTGCACAGCGCTTTTGGCAAGCGATGAAAAATACGCCGATGCAGCCGATATTTTTGTGGAGAAGCTCACGGAGTTACCCAGGAAGATTTGGAACCACTTTGAAATCGATGGTTCTTTGGGGAACACCCCAGAAGCGAACCAGTTACCTTTGCACGGATCCCCACCACCAACACCCCAATCGAAGCTATGCAAGGCAGTAGTAGATAATGATGTAGCTACTGTCCGAACCATGCTCGGCGATTTGTCTCTGGACGAGATCACCGCTGCGGACGAGGAAAACAAGAACACTGCGTTGATCTGGGCCGCCGAAATCGGAAATCTAGAACTGACCAGACTAATCTTGGACACCGTCGTGGCAAAACTGAGTGAGGACGAAAACTACCGAAAGGAAGAACGGCTGCTGTCGTTCGTGAACCATCGCGGTTTTCTGGGAGCCACGGCTCTGAATCGTGCGGCGCGACGAGGGCACACCCACATCGTGGATTCGCTCTTGTCGCCGAAAGATTGCGAGGTAGCAAGCTGTTTCGATGCCGACGTTCCCAACGACAAACTGCAGCACCCGCTTCATTTCGCTGCGTTCAAGAAACACCCCGAAACCGTGGCGTCTCTCCTGCAGTGCGGAGCCAACCCATGGGTATTGGATCGCAAGGGCCGAACGCCCCTCGAAGACACATCGTGTGAAACCTGCCAATCGTTGTTGAAAAAGGCCATGTTGTAAAGCAACTGGGAGTGATGTCGCTCGAGACATGAATCTCTTCGTAGTATCTACACTCATAAAAACAACACTGTAGCAAATCAATGTAGAACTTCCCGATTAACTAATGCTACCGTTATTCCTTCTACTTATTGGATTGCGAGATAATTGTAAAAGTACCCAAGGTCAAAATTGTTATCACCTTAGGAAATGGATGAACCATCCTTGAATTCCATGTTTCTGAAGAGTACGAGTCCAGTGATGGAATTAGAACCGTATCTATTTCCCTAAAGCACGCACTCCCAAGTCTGGATTGGAGGCTCAAATCATTGAAACCTGAAAATGCAGGACATTAATGCAATATTCCAGAATTTTGACTATCCCGACCTCAATCCTGTTTTGGTACCAAAAATCCAAACTGTTTGGGACCACTTCAAACAAAACCGAAAAAAGATCTGCCGAGACAAGTGCGATTTTCAATTATATTGGTAGTACTTCATTCGTTTCCTATTGCACCACGCGGCACGTCACGGTAGGAAAGAATCGCCGGCATTGCGGACATTCCAGTGCAATGGCATTCCTTGGAATGTTTTTGATAAGGTACGTGCACCCAACGCATTCCACCTGTATCGTGCTCGCCATCACTCGTTGTTCGAGGCCGAGCGACGCCTGCGGCTGCTGCGACGACGACGACGACAGCAACAGGCTTCGGTGGCCCAGCCGCGGGGCAAACGACTTTGGCAAGACGGGCCTCGCGGTCGGGCCCGGCGGCTTCCCCGGCCGGGGCAGGGGTCGTGGATTGCCGTTGACGTTGCCGTTGCCACTGCTCCTGGCGCCGCTGCTTCCGCCGCTCCGGTTGCTTTCGTGGCCCGGCGAGGCGCGCCTGTGGCGGGAGCCGTCGCGGCTCGGGGTGCCGGGTAGCTTGCGATCCAGGGCGTCGACACCATCGGCACCGCCGTGCGCTCTCGAAGTGTTCGCCGGACCACCGCCACCGCCGCGGTATGTGCCGTAGATCTCGTCGGATCGATCGCCGCCGCTGGCCGGGAGCGAATAGTGCTGGTACGGGGACGGGTGTTCCGGTTGCGCTTCCTCGTGCTGGCGTTCCTTCGCCTGGTGGCGAGCATTCAAGCCGGGTCTGTTTCGGTCGGTCTCGTCCTCGTCGAAGCTTTGTTGCTGGTACGAATAGGATAGATCGTCTTTCAGGTTCGGCCGAGCGTCGTACTGAGAGGGCGGGGGCTGCTTTCGCTCGGACTGCTGGTGGTGGTGGTGCCGAAGATTGTGGCGTGGTGCGTAGTTGTGGCCGTTTCTGTTTCTGCTGTTGCTGTTACCGCCACCGTGGTCGAGGGGAAACTCGCTGGTGCTGCCGTAGCTGGGGTGGTTGCTGCCTACCGTCGAGTTTGTCGCAAACACGGCCGCCGCCACGGCCACGGGAGCGTTCTGGTGAAAGGAATCGAGGCTGTGGTGCGGACCCGTCAAATGACTGCTCGAGCTGTTCGTGTTCGAATCCGAGTGTGAGTGCGAATTCGAGTGCGAGTGGCTCGTCGAATCTCCCGTTCTGCGGCGGGGAGCGGGGGGAGGTGCGAGTGCTACCGCCGCTTCGACCCCGGAACGCCCCGAACGATGCTGCTGCAGGTGCTGTTCCTGCTGGTGCCTCTGCGTATCCGGAGGGAAGGACGACCCGATCAGGTCCCCGCTGTTGCCAAAGCTGTCCTCCTCGCTGTCCCCGTCCCCGATCGATCCTCTCTTTTTCGCGATCCCCTTGTTGTTCTCGGGATCGTTGCTTCTCATAAAGTCCGCGAAGGATTGGGCCGATCGATCCATGATGTCCAAACCCTCTGTTTTTCGATCATGTGTGCCCCGTGCTAACAATCGAAACGAGGACGGGTGTGGGGGTCGTCTGCCTTTTTCCTTCTCTCTTCTTGGTTTCTTCTTGAGTATGGTATGCAAAAAATAATACTACCACGCTCGTTGTGTTGTGTCGAGAGAGATAATTGCTACTTCTACGCCGTAATTTTTGCCAAAACGCCCTGCGCAGGAGCATGGAAATGGGTGGATTCGACTCAATCGATTACTTTGATTCTGTAGGAGCATTTGCAAATTGCAAATACCCGTACAAAAATGGAAAAAAGACCAAAATCTTCTGAAAATAAAAATGAAATCTTTTCGTCTACGGTACGGTATGTAGAAAGGTAAGTTGTACGTACATACCATACGGTACGCCTACCAACAGTACAGAATTCATTGCCTACGTACTGGGTACCGTACTGGGGCCGGTAGGAGATGAAAACGATCAGTTCGAAGAACATTTTAACACCGGAGTTCCAATGAATTCTTCCATCACTAGCTACGTACCGCAAGGCGGCACAGCAGATTCACTCGGCACACCAACAATACGATTTCCGGTGCTGTTGCATCTTCGCGGCTGACCACAACACCAAGCCGATGACGACGATGACGATGATGACACGACGACTCACCAGCATACCCCCTTCGTTGTTCTATAGGGCCGCCTCGGTTTCGTCGAGAACACCAAGAGCAATGCGCCGGGGCCGCTTCGTTGCGCAACCGCTACAAACCCACGGCGGCTCCGCTTCGCAGTTCCCCGGCGCGGGCCCCACGCTCGTCCGCGGGTTTTCTACCGGGGAAAAGCCGAGCGACGACCCCCATCCCCCGGAGGCACCGGCACCGGCATCGGCCGCCGAGGAGCTCCTGGAGGCATCGGCGCGGGGCGTGGGCCAGGTGATCTTTCTCAACAGCTCCCACTCGGGAAGGATCCTCGGCCTGGGCCTGGTGATCGGCGATCCGTACCTGGCCACCCTGGCCGCTTTGGGGACCGTCGCCGCCACCGCGACCGCCACCGCCGCGGGCCTCGACCGGGCCTCCGTCCGGGACGGGCTTGCCGGGTACAACGGCTGCCTCGTGGGGTGCGCGTCGGCCGTCTTTGGCCCGCCGTCGGTCCTGGCCGCCACCACGGCCACCCTTATCGGGGCGTCGGCGACGCCCTTTGTGGCGGCGGCGCTGAAGGAAGCCATGGGAGGCGTGCCCCAGTGGACCCTTGCCTTTAACGCCGTGGCCCTCAATGCGTTCCTGCGGTCGCGCCCGCTGCTGCCGGACGCCGCGGAGGGGGGGGCCGCCGCCGAGGCGGCAGCCTCGTCCGGGGGCAGCGTGTTCGTCGACGTCCTCCTTTCGCCGCTCACGGGAATCTCCCAGATCTTTGTGGTGCAGTCGGCACTGTCGGGCGTCGTCGTTCTCGGCGGGATCGGCTCGTACTCTCCCATGCTCGCCGTCCACGCGCTCGGAGGGAGCACCGTGGGAACGCTGGTGGGTGCCCTGGGCGGGGCACCCCTGGAAGAACTGACCATGGGCCTGTGGGGGTTCAATAGCTGCCTGACGAGCATGGCCGTGGGCGTCTTCTTTGTCCACTCGACGCCCACGGTGCTGCTGAGTGCGGGCGGTGCCGCTGCGACGGCGTCCTTGTTTGGCACCATGAAAACGGTCTTTGGTGCCTACGGCTCTCCCTGCCTGACGCTGCCGTTTTGCGTGACGATGAGTGCGTGTTACCTGTTGCAACGACAGGTGCCGGCGCTTGTCTTGGCCAAGGATCCCCACAGTCCGGAGAAGAACGAAACGTGAGATTGTATGTGGCGAGCAGTACGAAGTCAAAGGCTGATTCTAATAATGATGTGATGGTATTATATTTTACATTCGTAGTTAGCTTGCTGAACTCCAATCTTTGTAATCTTTGTATAGTTCCGCAAAATTGTTGGCCATTGGGAGGTTTCTAATTGTTCTTCTTGGCAACGGTAGCATTGTTTTTCGAGTAATCGGGGGCGGCCTCCAGCTTGATCTTGGACAGGCGCTGGAGGAACGTTGCGAGCGACAACTTGCAGACCAACAGGACCAACCAAATCGAAAAAACTCCGACAAACAGCACCCAGGTCTGTGGCTGGTTTTGGTAGGTTTGGTACTTGTAGGCTTCCTTGAGGTACTTCGTCATCACACACACGAGAGGTATCTGTGCCAAGCCAAGGCGTTTCACCACCGCATGGGATTTGTCGAGGTTTTCGCCCTCGTGCCCAAACCCGGAGACGTCGCCTGCTAGCAAGAGGCTGTACTCGGAATAGACGCTGCTCGCAATGTAGTTGAATTTTGTAATGAACGAATGCTTCAGCCAATCGGACAGCCACTCTGCGCACCAAATGATCCCGCACATCGACAGGTAGTTGTAGAGCATTTTCTGGTCCATTCCCTGCGAGGCGTTCAGCATCAGGACCAGGATCAGGAACAGAAAGAGCTTGAATCGCTCGCAAATGTCGGAGGCGGCAATTTTGAACAAACTGGCCTTGTTGTATTTTTTGAAGACAGTACTCTTGATTTCGGCGAAATTTCCCCCAATCAACAGGCTCAGCAGTGCCTGGTCGTCCGAGTTCATTGCTACATTCAGTGTTGCCACGTGCACGAACAGCAAAAAAGAGTGCAATGCCGTATAGACAAGTACCACGAGTGCCGACACTAGCAATCTCGAGCTTCTCGGCCGCCGCGTGGTATTCCAGTACAAGGAATCCAGGCAATCCTGTCCGAGGGAACACATCAGTCGATCGAATACTTCCACAATCGCAACCACCAAGTAAAGCTTGACCATGCTCTGAGAACGAATCCAGTGATACAGGATGCTTATATTGATGGGTTTCAGAACAAATTTGTATATGATGTAAATTATGCTCACTTGAATGACATGGTACGAGTTGTGCCGATGAAACTGAAACGATCCCGCGGGGCGACCAGCAATCTTTCTGTAGACCCATACCAGCAAGAGGGCTATGCTGTATGCAAATCGGATGGGCAACATCGTCAATGTGTACAGAAAGGAATCTACTGAAATCCAAAACCCAAAACCTAGAAGTGCTTCCACTGCTTTGGGAACTTTGACAAATTCTTTGGTATCAGAGTCAGATTAGGATTCAGTATTCAGAAAGTCGTGAGTGAGTCGCTGTATATTTCTGGTGGATAAAGATAACCGACCTGGTACCTCATCGGTACAATTCTTACCTTCCATTTGCTTATCGGTGTCGTAGTTTGATTCCTGTACGCTGTTGAGATAATCAAGCCATTTTGATTTAATATTGCTTTTTTTCTTCTGGTGTTTCGGTGTATCGCTGGTACATACACTACCGTTCGCGTTGCTGCTAATGCTGTTCATTCTCGTCCTCGTAATTACAGTTGTAGAGGCGCTTTTACCGGAGTTTTCTTTGTGATCTTTGTCCATGATGGCCGTGTCGATTTCTAGACTATCACGGCCGACAAAATCGGAGTTGTCCTTGCTGTATTTTGCATTTTTCTTTGCTGCATCGATTGATAAAAAGTTTTCGGACGAGAGGACCTTGGCAACGACTGGATTTTGCGATTGAATGGGAGATGTTCTGGAACTTCCAGGAAGCGAATCCAGGGAAGGAACTCTCGTACTCTTTTCATATTCTTCATCGTGGTGGATGGAGTGTAAAGTACCACCGACACCACTCCCATCGGAAGCATTGAGGTTGGAAACCTGGTTTTCGCCACCATCGCCAAGGTTGCTACCGTCGTCGTCACTACTTCTCCTATTCAACTCAAGATCAGGCGCATGCAGAATGTGATAGCTCAAATTATTCCTCAATTTGAAATTCGCCAGCCCGTTTCGGGTCTGGTTGCGATGGTGTCGTTCTTCGTACGGTTGAGATATATCAAAGCTATCGAAATTCGGTGTTGGTGATTCTAAAACGGGAACGTTCGATGACGGTATTGTTGCGAGCGACGTTTCTATAGATCGAAAGGGAGTTGTAGGAGGTGAAATACTTCTTGGTGATTGCTGTTGCTGTTTTTGGTTTTGTTGTAACAAAAGCATTGAAAGTGTTGACAGCTTTTCTTCCAAGTCTCGAACTCTGTCCTCCAGCGCAGCCACGTGCGATCCATCGTATGGCTGCATGGGCGCACATTGATTTTTTTTCTCGTCTGGTCCCTTCTCAGCACTTGAGGGTTGTCGCATAATGGAAGGGACGGTAGGTGGATCGTCTAATTCTGCAATATGGTGAATAGTGAAACTGCCCTCGTCGTCCTCATCGCATGCTTGTTTCTCGAATGCAATGGGGGACGCATCAACAGATATAGGGATAAAGGATGACGGCGTGGATGTTATGTTTTTCATCGTTGGTCCTCCCGACACCATCCCTCCTGTGCCCACTTGTTGATCGTTACCAGCCGCTGGTTTCGGATTCGAATCGGTGTCGTCCAGGTGGTCGTGTTCAATTGTAAGAGATAGTCCTATCCCATCCCCTCCCGKCGGCACCGGTTGATTCGTCACTATCGTCGTCATGTTAAAGGCGTCAGGAGGCTATCCGACTTGATCGCGGGTATTTGCGTGGCACTACAAGTATGAGCAATGAGTTTATTGTTTCAAAGAATCGTTCTTGTGCTCTCGCTCACCTCGTTGGGTGATAGGTTCGGTTTGAAAAGTGCACATGATTTAAGTTTCATCCAGACGACGTCGAACGTCAATCTACACGTCCAATCACAGGAGCCAACTTGATTGGCGAGCGGCCAGACCGTGTTCACGTACGTTTCAAATTGAATTATAGCGCCCTCGTGTTCTAAAAAGTAGAGAATTCACAGATCTGCAGAAGTTTGGGCTACTACGGTTCGTATGTATTGTAGTATGTACGAATACCATAATGCTGCATCTTCGATGTTCTGTGACGATTGACGATGCAGAAGATTTTCGATCGGCATTCCCACAAATTCTTGTTCCACAGGACGGAAGATGTGGGTGGGGAATTGTCTGTTCTGGTGGTGAGAGAAACATATTATCACACTTGCTCTGTGCCGTTCCCCTGGCATACGGAACAGTAGACCTGCAAACGCATTCAAGTCACTAGCAACAACAAGCACGCAACGCAAAGAGTGAAAAGAGGGACTCATACGAGTCCGATCCCTTTTTTCTCTGAGCCCGTGAGCAAGCAAGCATGAGAACCACCCTGCAACGAACCGTTGTTTGGCACGACGGCGAAGGGACTTGCAAAGGGAATGGCGATGTGAATACAAATGTCACTATCGAAGAAGACCTGGTTCTCCTCTTTCTGGGATGCGAGGCCCTTCCCCCCTACGGTCCCTACGACCACACGGCCTTGCTATTTCTGGATCTGATCGCATCCGCCCTCTCGTACACACTCCAGCCGAATCACGAGCGCACGATCGTCCTGGAGGTGTACGCGGTGTCCGAGGAAGAAGGCCCTACACGCTATCCGTCTGACGAGGACATGGAAAGATGCGACGGCGTGATTATTCCGGGATCCTTTTCTGCCGCGTACGACAAAGAGAAACAATGGATCCTAGTATTGAAGGATTGGATCCAAACCAATTTGGTGGCTCGCTCGGTCCCCACCCTCGGTGTTTGCTTCGGTCACCAGCTGTATGCACATTCGTTTTCTTCGAGCTGTTTGTCGAATGGCGGCATCGGCGACGAAGCACCGAACCACAACGACTCTGAAAAACACAATGGTGACGGGGTTGCCATAAAATGCCCGGCTGGTCCACAAGCCGGACGAAAAACGACCGAATTGACAGCCGCCGGGAGAGCCTTTGTGAAAGGAACTCTCAACAACGGCAAGTGCAGTACAACTTGCACAGATACTGGACTCGATCTATTCTACACACACGGCGATATGGTGGAAAGCCTCCCTTCTCAAGGTGTGTCTCTCGGAGGGAACAAAAACGTACCTATCCAAGCTGCGATTTACTTCTCTGCTCCTGTTTCTGATTCGTGTGATAGTACTCTTCGTGACATTCTCTGCGGTAACGTTGGTGACGACGAAGACAACAAAGATAAGGAAGCCAAAGACGGCCGTCCGAAAGTGATAGCGGTCACGTTTCAGGCCCATCCAGAGTTTTCGTCGCTTGGAAACGAATCAAAAGGGGACGAAACCCTTCACAAGACTATGAAACTAATGAAAGAGAACGGTGATTTGAGCGAGCAAGATTTTCTCGCTGCCAAAGATGATGCGTATGCAAGTGTTCTACGGGTCAAAGAACACAGCGTGAATGCCATGATCACGGCTGGTAGACTATTGGATTGGTTTCGGTATACATGACCAATTGTAACACTTGATGCTTGTTTTATGTTGAAGTTCTTTTCCATGAATGGATGCAGACGTACAATTATTTATCGAATTCTACATCACAAGATTCGATTCTAGATTTCTTGTGCATCGGAACATAAAAAATTGTGTCCATTGCTTTACCCTAACTTTGAAAATGGTTTAGTGGGCAATCCATTAAATGACAACGAAGTAGAGACGCCAGTTACACACTGTTATTTGACCGCATTTTTTCTTCATTGAATCGTGCGCTCGTGGTATGTTCTGTTCGAATCTTATGTTCGAAAACAATGCTGATTCTGATCCTGTGTAACAAATGTTGTGATTTTACCTATCACCTTCCCATTGTGGAACAGTTCGATGGTTGTGCATTAAGAAGCTTTTCTTACAATTCGATAATGGTGTAGAATTCTAGCGATTCTGGCCACAAATTGAGTTCCCGAGTGAAAAAATTAAGATTCTTTGGATGGAACCAGTTTTTGTAACATTCCTTTGGTGTTGACTTTTCCGACGCGCCTGAAGCATTTTCGTGGTTTCTACCTTTCACACATTAAAATACGTCCTGGATCAAGCTACGTGTGGAACTTTAATTTCACTCTTTGGTGACACAGTAGATGTGCTTTGAAAAGCGTCTCTTTGTTCGTCGTTGTCGTTTGAAATGGTTGGTGTGATAGAGCAGAAATTGAATTGACTCTGTTGTGGGTTTGGAATACATTCCCAGAATAAACTAGAATCATCACGGTCATCGTCACCGCACAATCGGGTCTGATCAACAACTTTGTTACTATTATTTGCATCGATCAATTTTTTTTTCGTCATAAGAATAAGATTTCCAGTCGTATCATTGCTACCGATGCAACCTTTTTGTATCGTAGAATCAGGAGAGTCTGTTTTTATCGCAGTGCCGTCGTTTTGGCATAGATTATTTTGCGTGTGTCTTTGAAGTTCATATTCTTGTTGCACGTAATCTGTAAAGACATTTTGACGATTAATCCATTTCACGAAACGGTTTGCCAATTCTTCAGAGGAATAGTTGTCGACGTCGTCTCTGAGGAGATGATGACAAATAGAAATGGAAAAATAGTATATCAGCGAGGAAGAGAAAATACTCGAGGAAGTGGGCAACAAGACATGACTTTTCACTGATCGATATCTCTTACCGATCTTGTTTGTGAATGTGTTTTTGGTAATGGGCGTCGAAAATTTCTTCCATTTTTGCAAAATCTGTTTCGCTAGTCCTTATGGTGTCGCTTCCATTCCACGGCTCAACCACCTTGCGACAAGCTCGTTTTGAAAAGTAGTACCATGCACCTATTAAGGCAGGAAGAATAACACACCCGGTTGATATGTATATGTCTAAAGGGAGGTTCGGGTTGTCATTGGTGTCATTCTCCATTCTTCTTGTCGTGATCCTCAATTGGAGCTGAAGTAGTTCACTGATTGGAGCAACTCTCAACATGCGTATGCCATACTATTGGCTTGGCGTGAATATCCAACTCGTAAACAATTGCCTGCACCAGGAACAAATGCGACATACCGAGGTCAAAGGTTGCTTCCTTTAACCATATGATGAGCCCGCCGTGATTGTTCTTTGAATGCCATACATCAACTTAATCTTACCATACCTCGTAATACCATTTACCCTACAGCACGATCATGTTCTATGGGGCTGGTTTCCCTCCTGAAATCGTCGTTGATCGTGTCAAAAACAAGTTTAAAATTTGTGTAGAAAGTTGAAAATAACGCCTAACGTTTGTCAAACACGCGTGTCACGCTACGATTACGAGGCGTTGGTGTCATATCGTGCTCTATTATATAGGTTATGAGTCATAATTTTGCGTCCCGTGTTGATGTCTGTAATCATCTGCAAGTTTTTCTTCCTTGCTACTGCTAGCAAAGGACCAATCACAGTTTGAGAATCCATAGTCAGAAACGTTTTTCTTGTTCCTCTATTTAGAGATATTGATGGTTTTCTTTTTGCCAGGGACGTTCTGAAATGACTCATAACCAGATACTTAAGGAAACTTCAGTGCTACCACATCCTTGAAAAATCCATCTTCTCCTCCACAACCAACACAACCAATGTGCCAGATCTTTTTATCATATCAATTTTACAACAGGGGGAATTTGGAAGTTTCAGATTGATTGACTGATTGGTTTGAAAGAAAAAGCACTTTTTCCTCTATATTTTACTAACACCACCATGAACAACAACAAGAAGAAGAACAAGTAAAGCCCAGTGCCTCCAAGACTACAAACTGTACTCCCAACAGCACCAAAGAGGAGGGAATTGTTGTTGCAGATTAGTGGTGTAAGGATKGTACTAATGGGAACTGGAGGAGGGACAAGAGGACCCACAAATAGGACCAAAAACAACAAAAACAACAACAACATTAACACCATAGCAGATCTGCACAGAATGGAGAAGCTATTGCCATGTGTACAAGAAGGATTCTGCTGGCATCTCAATGCTTTGTTGTTCATTCCAAAGCACTTGAAAACAAGTTAACTACTAGTAGTATAAAGAAAGCAATGATCTTCACTGACTTCACTGCAGAAGAACAAAAGAACAAAGCCCTGCTGTACAAGAAGGTTGCAAGGGCCCAGAAGCAATTGAAACCATCACCCATCACCTCTTCATTGATAATGGTTGTGCAGCCAACAAGAGCAACAAGGGTATCCTGTCTCTCTAATCCATCATCTGCTTCCTCTGCTGCTGGTGCTGTGGTGGTGGGGAAAGATAAAAATACAAGCAAAAGGCCCCATGCAGTTGATGCTGAAGATGCAGTTGACAAGAATGGTGAGCCCAGCAGTGAAAAGAAGAGCAAAAAAGAGAATGGTATAAGGAAAATGGCTACATAATATCATGCAAAGTTGAAGAGGAATAAGGAGGAAAGCAAGCTGAAGGACTATACTGTGTTTCATTCTGTTTTTATCCCCCCCTAAAGTACAGTAACATGTTGTACTGGAAATCACGAGAATTGTTGTCACACTGCAGGGGAAGAAGGGATTTACTACCTACTAACCCCAGTCATCCTCTACTGCAATATGTTCCCAAATTTCTGTTCCCGTCCCCTCCACAAGCAACAAGAACTGAAGTGGTAGTACAATAGTTTTTAGTTTTTGGTCCATGATTGAATAGGTGATTCCTGTTAATAGATAGTATGACAACCAATCTTTGCAGTTTACTTTTCCATTACTTGCATTTTTTAGAATAACAGAATCATTAAAAGGATGGGTTCCCAACTAGTACTGTACTAGTAGGCTCTTTGCTGCAAAAATGCAAAGAAGTCTTGAACAAGAAGAAAGAAGAATGTGGAATCATGATTAAAATAATTGAATAAAACTGATACTACTACCTAATACAAACAATACTAAATTATAGAGAATTGATTCCTGCACTAATCCATTGCCATCTTTAGTTTTGTGGCAAGTTTACAAGAAAGCTGCAACAAGGCCAGCAAGAAGAAGGATCGTCGTTGGCCTTGGCCTCTACAAGAATTACATGCTGCAAAGCCAGGAGAATCATCCTCTAGTCAGAGCTCCATGACACACATTGAAGGATTAGTTTGATCTAGAACCTACAAAGCCATTACACCACCACCATCTGCAGGTGACTTGCATTTTTTAGCCAGGCACGTTTTGCAAGCCACGTGAGCCCCACTTGGTCCATGAATGTGAACCACATTTATCAACCTGGTTTTATGAGTCACACCTTTGACGTTTTGACATGAATGCTAGCAGCCGAAAGTTGCCATTTGTTGCGACCTAAGACCTTCCCAGGAGCAACCGAGTCTATCGCCGCGGCAAAAACCATCTATTGAGACAACCATTCGAGTGTAAAGTACTGTATCTATTATTTACTATTAACTATAAGGAACATCAAAGGAACACCTGCTACAAGACGTAGCAAACTTCCCGGCATAGATTTGCTGACAACTCTTATTTGGCCTTGCCCGCAACAAATGCAGTTCCAAATCCGGCCGCCGCAACAAAGGCAACGGCTTGTTTCTTTTGTTTGTTTGTCATCGACTTTGCACTGTCAACAAGTGATTTCGATTTGCTAACGACGCAATCTGTGACATCGGAGATCTTCGACGTAAGGGATGAAATAGCCTTACCCAATTTGTTAGCTTCAGCTTCAGCGGCGGCGGCAGCAGCGGCGGCTTCCTCTTCTGCAGCCTTTGCTGCGGCGGCAGCTTCAGCTGCTGCTTTTGCTGCAGCGGCTTCCTCGGCGGCCTTTGCTGCGGCTGCAGCTTCTGCGGCTGCTTTTGCTGCAGCGGCTTCCTCGGCGGCTTTGGCTGCCGCGGCAGCTTCAGCAGCTGCTTTGGCTGCAGCGGCTTCCTCTGCAGCCTTGGCTGCGGCAGCAGCTTCAGCGGCTGCTTTGGCTGCAGCGGCCTCCTCGGCGGCCTTGGCTGCGGCAGCTTCCTCAGCGGCCTTGGCTGCGGCGGCTTCCTCGGCGGCCTTGGCTGCGGCAGCTTCCTCAGCAGCCTTTGCAGCAGCGGCTGCGTCTTCAGCTGATGTGTCGGTCTCCACAGCTTCCTCGGCAACAACGACGTTGTTCAATGAGGCCACAAGAACCATCAACACTAAAAGACATAGTGTCAGATACCTATTCGATTTTCCCGTTCTGAACATCATTTTTATTGATCCTACACCTCTTCTGGAAGTCTTCAAAAACTATATATTGTATGTAATCTTAAGCTTAACAAAACCATGTGCAATATGCAGAAGGGAATGATGCAGTCATACTCTCTTTTCTCGCTGTTTTCAACACCCTACCCGCGAGTAGGGATCTTTTTCCTCGTGGAAGCTTTTGATGAAACGCTCCGTGAACACTTCAAAGAGGATCGGTTGAAAATAAAACTGGCATTTCGAATTGCATTGGCATCCGTTGCAACACAACGGTATCCTCCACAGTTCAACTTTCTGATTCATGATTAAAATATTGAGTCCCTGATGACGTACAATAGAAATCGTTTTCGGACAAATTCGACTAAAGAAATTTTAAATCATTTTTGTAACCTTTCGATCTTTTTAATCGTATGGATCATCGTTCGACAATCTGTCATCGTCATTCATATTGGGTGATTCCCGATACGTACCAAGTACCGTACAACCGGTATCTTCGTGCGAAGATGAAACACGGCTGCGTTTGCAAATATTCGATTTGAAAAATAGTGACCATGTCAAGATACCCCGACCCCAATTAGTATCATCTCTCACTTCGGCGACAGACAAAGTACCGTAATAGCTACTGTAGTATAGACCGTTGCCAAAATGACCCTGTCCGAATAAGAATATGCAAGCAAATCCGACAACGAGCTCTTCCAGGCCATCGAGGTCAAGCAATGGCCCCTGGTAGAAAAGCTGCTGGAGGAGAAGCCCCACCTGGCGGCGGAACCCGACGTGCAAGGAAACATGCCCCTCCACATCGCGATTACGTCCATGTGCCCCGATCCACTGCTGCTGAAACTCCTGGACGCCTATCCTGACGCCTGCAAGAGGCACGGAGCTGCGGACTGTCTCCCGCTTCACCGGGCGGCAATGCGGGGGGTATCGATAATGGTGATGTATGCGCTGATACTCGCCCATCCGGAGGGGCTGGACGAGTCCGCTCAAAACTATTTGGGGACTCCGCGTGACTATATGGAACGATTCGAACACCACCGGGAGCTGTTGCAGTATAGCATGAAAGACTGGGAAAGAATGCAAATATGACCCTGTTCTTCTCCTCTGCTATTACCACTAGCAGTATGAATACTAGTGGTAGTAGCAGTAGCTACAGTTTGGTTTGATCTGGATAAAAGTTGTTTCTAACTTGAAAGGTTATTCTGACGTCAAGCACTATAAATGAAATGATAGAAAACTTAATTGGCCCAAATGGGAGCATTCTCGTGCATTCTGACCTTATCGGGCACCTTCATACTTGCACCGTCTAGCCATGGGTAGGAAGCGCTTCTTTTTGTCTCAAATTCCGCGATTTGATCAACCTTCTCGAGAGTGAGGCCAATCTTGTCTAAGCCATTAAGGAGACACATTTTTCGGAACGAATCAATCTCGAAATCAAATGATTCGCCATTCGAACGGATGACCTTTTGGTTGGGAAGATCGACCGTCAACTCGTTGTTAGGATCCTCGGAATCCTTTAACAAGACTTCAACTTCATCACGCGTCAAAACAAGAGGAAGCATTCCGTTATTGAAACAGTTGTTGTAAAAGATATCGGCAAATGATGTTGAGATGATACATCGGATGCCCATGTCATTGATCGACCATGGAGCATGCTCTCGGGAAGATCCGCATCCGAAGTTATCACCAGCAATCAAAATAGAAGTGCCTTCGTATTCGGGTTTGTTCAAAATGAAATCGTCGTTGCTTTCTGCAACGTCTTCGCCCAAAGCAGCAACCTGGTCGGGGTTTTTGTATCGAAGTTCGGCGAAGGCGGCGAATCCGAGCCCGGCACGTTTGATTGTTTTCAAAAACTCTTTTGGAATGATCATATCCGTATCAATGTTTTGGATATCTAGAGGGGCAGACTATCGTAGAGAAATACATGAGCGGAGATGAAATGGTTAATATCTCGTCGTAAACTGTTTGCACGTCGAACAAATTCTGCGTGCGCCCAATTTTACAAAAAACTGAGTAAGAAAACTTACCTTGCCCTTCAATACCTGGAATTTTGGTAGTCCTGATGCAACCTCGCCATCTCCGGTATTTTCCTTCATGTACGGAGCTGGTGGGTCAATAATAGGACCAGGAGAAACAAATTGTTCGGTTGTAAACACCCGCGATCCCTTGGCGTTGACGCCGAATTTGCGAGGGTCCTTATCGGCATCTCCTAGGAAAGGAAATTTGCGAACGTCTGCGAGAGCTCCGTCAATGGCAGCGGCCGCTGACATGGCAGGGGAACACAAATGCGTACGACCACCACCACCTTGTCGCCCCTCGAAGTTACGGTTTGACGTTGATGCACACCGTTCTTGGGGTTTTAGCTTGTCATCGTTCATTGCCAAACACATGGAACATCCAGGTTCACGCCAGTCGAAACCTGCTTCGATCAAAATTTTATCTAGGCCTTCGTCTTCGGCCTGCTTCTTCACGAGACCCGATCCAGGAACAACGTACGCGTGGACTCCTTCTGCGACCTTGCGACCTGTAGCAATCGCTGCAACGGCACGAATGTCCTCAATTCTACCATTGGTACAAGACCCAATGAAAGCCTTGTCGATCTTAACACCTTCTAGTGGCTGGTTGCCTTCGAGTCCAATGTAGTTGAGGGATCGTTCCATGGCTGCTTTACGGGCAGCGTCGGGGGCCTTTTCGGGGTCAGGAACGTTACCGTTGATGGGTGCAACATCTTGGGGTGAAGTTCCCCAGGTAACCGTAGGGGCAATATCTTCTGCCTTAATCACCACAGTCTTATCATAAACTGCATCCTCGTCAGATCTTAGACTCTTCCAGTATGCAACTGCGTTATCCCAATCCTCATCGGAAGGAGACATAGGACGACCCTTCAAATACTCAAATGTGACCTCATCCGGCGCGATGAGTCCAGCTCTTGCACCGGCTTCGATCGCCATGTTAGAAATACTCATTCGCGCTTCCATGGACAAGGATTCGATAGCACTTCCAGCAAACTCAATGACACTACCGGTACCTCCAGCAGTTCCGATGACACCGCAAATGTGGAGGATGATATCTTTGGATGTGACAGCTTCGTCCAGCTCACCATCAATCTGAATCAAAAAATTCTGTCCCTTAACCTGTGGGAGTGTCGAAGTTGCCAATACGTGTTCAACCTCGCTGGTTCCGATTCCAAACGCAAGGGCACCGAATGCACCATGTGTAGCGGTGTGGCTATCACCGCATACGCAAGTCGATCCTGGAAGAGTGAACCCCTGTTCCGGACCGATTATGTGAACGATTCCTTGTCTCTCGTCTTCCATTCCAAAGTACTTGAGGCCGAACCTTTCGACATTTTTTTCCAATTCAAGAACCTGGGTTCTGGAGTTGATCTCCGTGATAAAGCTCTCGACATCCTTCAGTTCCGTTCGATCTTCTGTGGGGACGTTGTGATCAACAGTAAGTAGAGTGCAGTCAGGACGGCGGACACCACGGTTTGCAAGGCGGAGACCCTCGAATGCTTGGGGGGATGTTACTTCGTGAACCAAGTGTCTGTCGATGCTGTTTTTGCACATCAGCGGCAGTCGAAAATATTGATGACATAAGCAATTAACAAAAAATTTAAAAAATAGATTCACGTTAAAAAATGCGTATGTTTCGAAAAGGTAAAACGATGATTGATGCCGGGACATAAACATAGATGACATCAAGTGCTTTCAAAACTTCGGAAAAACTTACTACAAAAGAGTGGAACCATCGGACTCGGTCACGGTGTGATCGTCGAAGATCTTGTCGTACAAGGTTCTCCCGGCATCCAACTTGGTGCTTGATGTCGTCTTCTTGGGCGCGGTAAACCCAGAGGCGCCAGGTAGTAGGAGCAAAAATACGGACGATTTGAAAATCATCTTTAGCTTCGTGGTTTTTTTAATCTCTGGAGAAAGATTTTGTACGATTGTTCGTCGTTGCTGTTCTTCTATCGGACGAAAAAGGAAAAGATTACTTTTGATGGGTAAACAGATCCTGACGAAGTTGGAAGCTGATGAAATTATTTTCGGCACGTTTGCACCTACGGCATTGCATTTTCGCGTCTTTTTGTGTTCGATTTTGAATGTTTTCATACCATGTTTCAAATTCTTCCAGCGTTTGGTCGTCGTCCGAATGCGTGGCCACCAACAATTGAATACGAAGACTTTTTGGAAGCTAAATTTACTACGGTAAGGTACTGGTAATGGAAGGAAAAGCAGGAAGTTTTAGTCCTTCTCCGGAGACGAACATGTTGTGTCGTACTTCCACGTGTATGGCCTATGTTTCGGAGAAGTTTACTTTAATTATTTCTGTTCAGTCATGACAATCTAAGTACGAGTACTGTACGTACTGGTAGTTTCCTACTGTCCTTCGAAGTGATAAGTACATAGAAGTACGAGTACCTTACCCAAGTACAATGTAGAGGTAGAGTACGGTACATCTAAAGTCAACTTCGTAGTACCGGTACACATTTTACTACATTGGGCTTGCAGTACGGTACTAGGAGTTACGCATACGACATTCTGACCATATCATTGTAAATCATCTGACACTTTCAATCACGAGGAACGGTTCTTTATGTTCCGAATGGTTTTGAAGCATTTTTTCAAAAAACCCAACAAAAATTACTACTTTACCATGTATTTTTTGAGGGCAAAACCCTTGTTTTGTTAGGCAGTACAGTACTTCCTCTGTCCATCTATGACCGTCCAATGTGACCTTCCCTTATTTAGTTGGTCTGGAAGACCATCGCACCAACAATTACAAGAAGTGAAGAAAACCACCATCTCCCACCGTGGAGAGACATACTCCTACGTCACACAAACCGGATCTATGGTACTGCGCGTTTCACGCGGTTGACACCATCGAAGTTTCAGGGTCAACC